TGCTGTACGCCACCTGCAGCCCATTTCGATTGCCTATATACATCGCCAGAAAAAAACACGAATGTGATAGTGTTTATCATGCTTGTTTTTATTTTGTTTGCACCGAAGCGTAACTAGATCATTTTTAAAGCAATTAGGTGAGTCTATCCAGAAAGAATAATTATAAGTGTACTTCCAATAATTTACTTAGAGACAAAATATGGTAAATCAGCTCGGTAAAGCAGGTGTTATTTTCAAATCAGTAAATGATTAAATGATTGTAAAACAATAGCTCACAACTCAAGTTACATCAGTGTTTTATTTAAAGCACTATGAATTGATAATGCAATACCACTAACAGGTGAAATTAATCTGCACACATTACCCACATATGCATATTTTAAGGTGATGCAATTATTTCATCAACGCAAAATATTTACTTAAAAATAACGCAACTGGCTAAAAATAGATTCCTACCCTTTGGAAAAAATTTATTTTCGATAAAAAAATCTAATTTATGAAACACAGTTTCCTTAGCACGACACCATACGGGATATTGAAACTGATAAGATACCAATTCCAGTATAATATTGGATTTTCGTTATGTGATCGCGTTTCCATCGCTTTATGAAACTTCTGTTGCTTCACAAAGATTTGTTTTACATAAAAAGCATTTTCGCTACTGCCCTGTTGTGGACTAGGAGGATCATGAATATGAAGTCTGTAACATTTCGTGACCAATGACATGATTATAACAATCTGCTCAGCCTTGCTCCCAATCCTTCTTTACTTCTCAGACAAGTTGATATCAATTTATCTGGAGCTGAGCGGTCTTCTTCAAGTAGCTACTGAAAATAGAAACCTAGCTCAATGCCTTTAACTTTCGAACCTTCGCTGCTTATTGTTTTTTCTAAGGCGTATTATATGCTTTCCCAGGTTATGTACGCAGGAATTATTCGTCTATAGGACTTCATATGTAGGTATATGCTTAAATTACATGTGTTAAATGGTGGAGAATATTCTTTTAATTCTAATTGATTGAAGTATAAATATATTATCCTTGCTACCACCAGGAAAAATATTTTCTGGAGCTACAAAGAATCCGGTGTAGTTCGAGTTTCTGAGTACTGTTCAAAAACGGTTGCATTTTGTTAATTTAAAGACTCAATGCAATGATTAAACTACGTTATCGAAATAATTAACAAAACGAATTACAATATTTTAGATAGGTATAAAAAATAAAGAAATTATTCTACTTTCTGAGATAGCAGGACTGCAGTTGCTTTTTTGAGATTTCTGAATAGAAATTCATATCCTACGATAGCCAAATTGAAAATCACAATACTTAGTGTGGGAAAAATAATGTTTACTTCTTTCAGTAGAGAAATTGAAATATCGAATTTCTAATTAAAATATACTCTTGTCAATATGTTCTTTTCAGATTAAAATATACTCTTGTCAATATGTTCTTTTCAGATTAAAATATACTCTTGTTAATTTTTCTTGAGCTGTGACGACTCAGGGATTAAGGTTCTGAGCTGCTATTGTGAATAACTAGAGACACCAGAGTTGATCCCTAGTGGCGCCCAGTTTCAGATAGATGGATTCTAGCTTATCTGACAAATAAAAGAGACTTGTGAGCAATGCTGAATTCGTTGCCACGATCATGTCGTTGGTTGCGAAATTGTGGCCATAACGGGCTATTGCAAGAATGCTTTTTAACCTTCAGCTGGTTTGAGGACAACAAAAATGAAATCATAAGCAATTAATTTGCAAATTTATTTCAGTTCGGCAAATATATATATATTTTTGCATTCTTGAAGAAATTTGTAGAAATATATATTTTATATAATTTTTCATATTACTTTTTTATCATTATAGAATGAATAATTTTATAACAGGTAGATGTAAAGAGAGCTAGTACAAAAGCATTTCTAAATTGAGAAGCATGCTTGTAGTTAAGATGGGCATCCATGTCTTAGGGAAAGTTATCAACTTAATACAATATCGACAATATATATTTTAATAGGGATGGAAAAATTATTGAAATTTAATAATTTAAGCAACAGAAATATGCATTTTAGAAGATTTAAACTGGGGGGTGGGGGCGCAGTTTGGGCTGTCCCGCCACTTAGTTTAGTTTATTTATAAAATTTAATAATACTTATCAAAGAACAACTTATAGTAGATTATAAACAAGTAGAAATTCCTGACGCCCGGTGGCAGAGCGGTAGCGCTTCGCGCTGTCGTGCTACAGGTCCCTGGTTCGATCCTCGGGCCGGGCAAGGTTGACTCAACCTTTCATCCCTTCAGTGGGTCGATAAATGAGTACCAAGTATGCTTGGGAAATAAACACTTGGGATTCCGCGTTCGGCTGACCACCGGACCGGAACATCTGCTCCTGCACCCCAGAGCCCAAGGTCAAGAAAACTGAGATGGGCACAGTAGGCCTTGGCCCTCTTTGGGCTGTCGCGCCGCTGAGTTCAGTTTAGTTAGAAATTTCTATCTATCTATATCCATGTATATATATATATATATATATCTGCACAATTGGCTATAGGCGACGGTCTGGGAAACATCCCTGAGCATAATCCGAAGACATGTCATCGCAATTTTGATCCTTTGCAGAGGGGATGG